AAGAAGAATGGATTTTAAGTTATCAACTTCTACTTATCCTTTCTTTTTCTTTTTTTTGGTTAATCTATTTTTTCAGGTGACACCACAAGATTTGGAGGATACATTTCAGCCACCATTTAAAAGCTGCGTAGAAGAGGGGCATGTGAGCAGTGTAATGTGTTCATACAACAGGGTGAATGGAATTCCTACTTGTGCTGATCCAAATCTTCTTAAAGGAGTAATCAGAGACAAATGGGGTCTAGATGGGTATGTTTCTTATTGTGTGATAAGATATAGAGGCATTTTCATATAACTATGGCATTAATTGAACTTTCCTGCTCAATGCAGATACATTGCTTCAGATTGTGATTCTATCGAGGTTTATTACGATTCAATAAATTACACTGCTACACCGGAGGATGCTGTTGCTCTTGCCCTCAAAGCAGGTATTATCAAATATGAACCACATCTTTTTATATATACATCATTTTAATCGAAAGTTTCAGATTACTAGAGACTCATTTTTACATCGTAGTGCAGGTTTGAATATGAATTGTGGAGATTTTCTAGGCAGGTACACAGAGAATGCAGTGAAATTAAACAAGGTGGATGAATCAACTGTAGATCAGGCCCTAATATACAACTACATAGTACTAATGAGACTTGGCTTCTTTGATGGAGACCCCAAAATGCTTCCATTTGGAAAATTAGGACCGTCTGATGTATGCACAGAAGATCACAAAATGTTGGGAGTTGAAGCAGCAAAGCAGGGAATAGTATTGCTAGAAAACAATGGGATTCTGCCTTTGTCCAAAAATGACACAAAAAATTTAGCTGTTATAGGTCCCAATGCCAATGTCACCTCGACCATGTTAAGTATCTATGCTGGCGTACCATGTCAATATACTACTCCTTTACAAGGATTACAAAATTACGTGCCATCTTTCAGATACGAGCCAGGATGCTCTGATGTGGGCTGCAATGATGACAGCCAAATCGAGGCTGCAGCTAATGCGGCAGCTGCATCTGATGTGGTGATAATCGTGGTGGGGCTTGACCAGTCCATTGAAAGAGAAGGGCTCGATAGGGTAAATTTGACCTTGCCAGGATTTCAAGAGAAGCTTGTAAATGAAGTTGCTAACTCAACAAACGGATCTGTGATCCTCGTTGTCATGTCAGCTAGTCCAGTCGATATTTCCTTCGCAAAGAAAAATAGTAAAATTGGGGCGATTCTGTGGGTGGGCTATCCTGGTCAAGATGGAGGTTCTGCCATAGCTCAAATCCTATTCGGAGACTATAATCCAGGTATCTCTTTCTTCTAACTTAATTATGAATGTGAAACTCACATGAACAAATCAAAGCCACGTCCTTAATTAGGATATAACTCAAAGAAATTTAAACTTTATATATTAAACTGTCGAGTTATACCCAGTACTGCATGTTAAACGTACATTTAACGTTCTATTTCTCAGGTGGGAGGTCTCCTTTTACTTGGTACCCACAGGAATATGTAGATAAAGTGCCAATGACTGACATGAATATGAGGCCTAATGCTTCAAAAAACTTTCCTGGAAGAACCTACAGATTCTACAATGGAAAAGCCATCTATGAATTTGGCCATGGCCTAAGTTACACAACATTTTCCAGGTTTGTAATATCTGCACCTTCCTCCATCCTTATCAAGAAAAAATCCACTACTAATCCAAGTAACATTCTCTCTTCAAACTTCGACTCTCAACCAAATGGACAAGCCATTGATGTCACATCAGTGAACTGCCAGAACTTACAATTCCAGGTAGTTATCGGGGTGAAAAATGATGGAAACTTTGATGGGTCCCACGTTGTGCTAATGTTCTGGAAGCCGGGAAACACATCAGTCGTGACCGGAGCACCCAATAAACAGTTGGTGGGATTTGATAGAGTGGAGGTGAAGAGAAAGAAAAGTAAGACTGTTACATTAAAGCTGGATGTTTGCAAGGATTTGAGCATTGCTGATCCAAATGGGAAGAGAAAATTGATCACTGGTCAGCATACATTTGTGGTTGGTTCTTCGAGTGAACGCCAAGTAAAGCACAATTTCAATATTGGGGTGGCAAAAAGTAGTGAAGAAGGAGGTTTTATGCCCAAGTAATAGAACTAGACCCAGATTTATATCTCATTATTTCTATATTAAAATGTACAAGTCGTTTACTTTACTAAGAACATTCATCTTTATCTTTTAAACTGTGTACATGTTGAATTTAATTTTCGCATACCATTTTTGTAGATAAACAAAAACATTTTGTGGAAGTCGAACAACATGAAGAAAACATATAAAAGGGGGGCGAATTCTCCAAAAACACTCGGACTTTTATATATGTTAGAATTGAACTTAATTTTTGACAAGGATGGTTTCATGGTGATAAGTTTTTCTATCTTTATCTTGTTGGCAAAATTTAATTTTTAGATAAGGTTTTAATCATAATAGCTGGATTCATCTTTATTAATACTTGGGGAATGACTGGCGTAGGTTTTTGACAAAAACAGATGAAATTTCCAAATTGGCCACTATGTGCTCGTGAAGGTACAACTGGGAATTCAAATTCAAACCAAGCCACCTAATTTCATTTTGACATTGCCCAAATGGTGCAGTCCAACTGTTATATTTGTTTTATGACTAATGCTATTTGTCTTTCATCCAATATTTTGTTAATTTCATTTAAATTTACAATTGGTACTCAAATTATTATTCGAGTAGCAAGTCGGTCATTAATATTTAGATAATGAACAAGTTCATTTCTATCATTTCTTTATAGTTATACAGCCAAGTGTTCCAAAATCTTCAAACTATAATGCCTCTATGTTTTTGAAAATTCATTTGCATGAAATTATACCTAGGTCTATTTGACAAAGCCTTTTAAGAAAGCTACTTTATATTATTTTCTTTAAAACGTCTTTTAAATGGACAAAGCGTTTCTAAAAAATTATTTAAATATTTTCAAATGTATAATTTCTTAATTTTAGAAATAACTTTTGACTTTTTAAAAACCTGTCAAATAAGCCCTACACTAATTGAGTTTTGACTTTCGACGATGGTCCACGCTAAAAAAACCATGTGTTGAATACTAATCCACTAATCACATTTGCCGGTGGTTTTTTGCATGAAAAAGCCAGTCAAAAGCAGCGGGTTGTATCCACTTAATTGCAGCTATAAATATTGACTTGATGAATTTTTACTTCAAATTCGTAAATCATAATTCATTTCAAAAGATTAAAGATTTTCAAACAAATGGAAGGCTTGATCCCGTATCTCCTCCACGCCATCAAGAAGCAGAGGCCGCAACATCCATATCGGTGCCTCTCCGACAGCTCCACCAGAAGCTACCACCTCCTGCACGACGGAGATAAGTCCACTGAGGGCGGTTCCTCCCACAAGAGAACGCGATCGGAATTTCAGGTGCCGGCGGAAGTGGCGACTTTGGACAACTTGTTCTATACAAAAAGCTGCTTCAGAGCTTCCATGGTGTCTGCTTCAGAAGCTAATAACGGCTTGAGACATAGGGGTTTCGCTTCAACCACTAATTACCAATTAAGTTGATGAAATATATTCATAAAAAGTTGGGAATTAAATATTATTCTTTTATGTAAAATGAAGTTATATAGAAATGATAGTTTGGTGTGATTAAGTGTAACGAAAAACAATCGTTTACACTTATTGGAAAAGTGTAAATTTAATTTATTTGAGCTATATTTCAATATTTTTATTTAAGTTTGATGGTGCATTGGTCTTTTTTCGTGAATTTAACAATTTTTTCAATGTAACCGTAAATAAGGATGAGACGAACTTGAAATTGAAAGTAAATGAGCTAATTAAATATCGATGAAAATGATTTGAGCTAGAAGTAAATAAGTAGATCTTATAATTTATAATTAAGTTTGAAGTGACTTTTTGAAAAACATTATATTTCTTGTCAAACGAATAATCCTATTAACAGGTGAATTTCATACATATAATAATACTGAAAAGGAAAAATATTTAAAATGTTTTGGAGACTATCTAGTTAAATTTTTCTTGTTTGTCTTCCTAATTTTCGTCAATCATATATTTGCAAGGGATACTACAAAAAAATTGAGATCTACCAACCAAGGATTTAGCGATCACACAAAAATGGTTACTATAAAATACCCCCACCAACCAATATTTGGTCGATAAAGTCCTTGATAGGTTAAGATTGGATCAGTTTTTTTTATGCTTTATTGCGACCAATACTTGGTTGATGATTCCATTTATTAGTGACCAAATGTGATGGATTTGAAATCATTCTAAAATATAGGTGTCACCAATTAAGATTTTAATGAAATTCAATGAAATCCTTTAAAATTTAGGTATCATCAATAATTAGTGAATTTATAAAAATTTTATTAATAGAAGGATTTTAAAAGATTTGGATGAATTTCAAGTTTAGAAATATATATGATCAAATCTTTCGAAATTTCAGCATATTTAATAAGATTTTTATGAAATTTGTGAAAATCTATTTAAATCCACGAAATTTATTAGTATTTATAGTCTTTTAAAATTCATCAAAATTTAAGTTGAGAACACCCTATTGATGGCTAATAATTAGGATGAGAATTTTTGCCTTCCTTTTTTCACGTGAGATTTGTTTATTTATTTATTTATTTAGACCACAATGGACTGGTTGCGAAAAAGCATATTAGCGACCATGCACGAGATCCTGTAGCAAATGGTTTTATATCCAAAAAAGATATTAATACTTAATACAAAATTTTCTCAATGCTCTATCTTTTTCCGTATACGGAATCAAGTGGCGTGTTATTTTCTAGATTGATCATCAACTGAAGTCATAAAGCAAAATTCTAAATTCTCTAGCGTATAAACTATGAAGTGTCATCAAATTTCACTTCTACGATCCTCAAGTGACTTAACGTTATGTTATTAAAATTAATCGTTAATTTTGATTTATATTAAAATTTAGATTTTAATTCAAATCAATTAAAAAAAAAGAAAGGAAAAAAACTCAAAAGTAGGAGAGTCATGTGACCCTGAAAACCCCCTTTGTGTCCGCCCTTGACTAATCAAAACCTAGTCATTCAATTTTGACGCAAATGAAATAATAAAAAAAAATTGCATTAATTTCTAAGAACATAATTAAATTTTTTTTCACAAAATTAATATAATATCCAAGAACACAAAGCCCTTGTTTGAGCCTCATTCGTTGGAAAAAACAAAAATATTTTTAAACAGTATTTTGACGTTATTTCAACCACACGTTTTTCAATAAAATAATATTACATGTAAATTCAAAACTTTTCATTACTTTTTAATTTCATATTTCCCATCAATACACTATTCAAAAATACGTTCCCCCCCCCCCCCAAAATGGGGGGAAAAAAAGGGCAAATTGTT